CAGCCAGAGAAAGCCTGAGCTGGGTTAAAAGAGATGGGTTTGCAAAGGCTTCCGACAAGATATTTGCAGCCTTTGCAAGCTGTTTTTAGATATATGAAAAAAATGCATAATTAAATGCATGCATGTAATCAGTGGGGGTATATGTTCTAAATTGTGATTTATTTATTTATTTGATTATTTGGGAGGTGGAGTGTCCCTTTAACTCCTGTCTATTACGAAATGTTATTTATTAAAGGAACACTCCAAACACCTAAAGTATATTTTAGCTTTAAATAAATCAGCACTTTTGTGAATATTCCTAGAAACACCTGTGCAACTGTCAGCCAGACAGTCTGGAGAGTTCAATTCCTCACTCGCTTTGAGCACTTGCTCAATGTGAAAGAAAGAGCTTCTTATAAAGAGGTGACCTGCATTCAATGCATTCCATTTGTAGCACACAACGATTGCTGTGCATGCTCATTAGTACCTCAATGTTTCTCTAAGTGAAGCAATTTTATTGGCTTAGAAGATCATCATTGTTAGTTAGTCTTCCAGGAGCTAAGGGGAACCATCCTGCTAAGCAAATGTACTAACTTCTAATGTTGGAATGTTTCTATAAATATCATGGATTATGTTTTCTGTTAATTTCTGGGAAAGGGATTATCTCCTAGAGCTGTATGAAAATTAACCATTTCTGTTCTCGTATTTATTTGAGAGCTGCTGTAATTAAAACATGTTCTTTAACACTGAATCAAGCACTGGCAAAACACTGCATCTAACCAAGGCATCGATTTAATAAGCGTTTCAAATGTTCTAAAACTCCTAGATAGACTTCCCAATGAATTATCTACAGAGGTCACAATTAAAGCCAATGGGAATCTTAGTAGAAAAATTATTTGAAACGTTTTTTCTAACAATATTGAATCATGTGGGAAATTGTATTAACCCTTTCACTTCTGAGCACTTTTTGATTGAAAACATATCGGCATAATTCCCATTTATTTGAAGCAAGGGATGTATAGCTAGCGTACAGACATATGAAGACATAGCATCGACTGACATATGGACTGTGTATCGACTGATTTGCAGACAAACGTAAAAAAATTCAATTATGTAAATGTACACAATTTTTATTTTTTTAATTAGTCATTCATCCTTTATAAACAAAACATTTGGGAATTGAAAACCTTTAGACAGTATTTCGTCTTTATCTTATAATATTTCACGCAGAGTCCGGAATGTTAGTATAAAAGCAAAAAGAAAATTGCAATTACAGTAGATGTGACAAAACAGATAAATGAAAATTGCTTATAGGTATTTTTAAGGACGCTGAAGATATTACTAGCAGTACAGCTTACTAACAATGGCAATGAAATGTAAAAAACAATCTCTGCCTTAGAGCATAATGCCTATATACAGTAAATACTGTTAAACAATGTATTTTTAAAATAAAGTCATTTAAAACTGCTATAGAAGTCTTTAGCAATCTCTGGAATGCTAATGTAATGCTAACAGTCAGTAAATTCTAGCCATACCATTTTATGAATATGCCCGCAGCAACACCAAAAGAAATATCACGGATATTTATATAACCAGTGTGGAACCGACAATGTTTGGACCTGACGTCAGGGTCTTTGTCAAGCGTAGGTTTCAAAATACAATGTATAGACTAAATACCCATTAGATTACAAGTAACATCCTAAAACTGGAGAATAAATATACTGCAAAGTTTACCATTACCATCCCAGAATGGAAAAATAAAAATTTAAAAAATAAAGAGAAAAGAGAGAAATATAATAGAATGCCAACATGTGTAGAAAATGCACAAATGCAAAATGAATCAACTAACTGAAGTACAGTCCTAATATGTTCTGCATTATATCATGTTGCATGAAAAAGATACGTGTGGCTATTTGAAGTTTCAAGTGCAAACAAGCACTTAACTGGATACTATATAATCCCTCTTCAATCCTTTGGATTAGAAGGAATCGAAGGTGTGGATCCAGAAGTTTTTTAAGGAGTTTTTGTCTATCTTGCCCTCTGGTTTGTATGGTGACAGAGTCAATAATTTGCTATTTTAACTTAATTGTGTGTTTATGTTCAACAAAATGTGCAAGAACTGGTTTGTCAAGTTTTCCAGTTTGAATGTCAGAGTGGTGTTTAGATAAGCCATTCCTAATTTTCTTGATGGGCTCTCCAACATATGTGAAACCACACAGGCATTTGAATAATTACACAAAAAAGGATAATGTGTAGAAGTTCCTAATGTTAAATTGTTAACCAGAATGTGTAAAAATACTAATTTTTTTCCCCATGTGTTTAGGGAAGTCAGTGGTCATGAGTCACACGACCCGTTGATTGTTAACTTTATCAAACATGCGGAGAGCGCGAGAGGCAGACAGGATGCCTGTGCACATACATTGCGTTGCCTCAGTAGTGGACCGTGGGTAACCCTGCTGGTTACCTTCGCTATCAATGAATGAAGAGACCCATCACCCCCCCCCAGTAACATACAGTTCCAGGTGTACAACAAGAACTTTATTGGCCACACTCAGCATTATACTTTCACCATGCAAGGGGTGGATCACACATGAAGACAATGTCCCCTCCCAGAGGTCGTGTAAGGGAACCGGAACCCCAGTCTCTTTGTCCCCTGTTCCCACCACTCTGTTTCCCCTCCCAGGGCCTCCCACTCCTAGGGGTCCCTTTGACGGAAACGGAACTCCAGTCCCTTTGTCTGCTGTTCCTGCCTCTTAGTGTCCCCTCCAGGGGTCCTACCAGGGGTCTTCTTCACAGAAGTCTCTGTATTTGGCGGGGGTCATAGCACGGGAAACTTCCCACCTCTTTACTGCCGCGTAACAGAGAGCATGCCAACCTCCACCATTAACTCCAAAGGATGTCCGCACCAATTTCAGGGACCCCCAGAATGGTAACCATCACGAACAGCCACAGTTCGCGGGGTCCCTGTGTGAAACCCAGGAAAGGGAAATGTTTCCTTTCGGGACGTGAATGCTCCCCCTCACGGCCCTCTTCTGTACTAATGGCGGCCACCCAGAGGAGCACTCGTTAATTACTTCCCTTGCGATTTCACACTTTGTTGCAGGTTGCCAATGTTCTAATTGATTGGTGTGAATATTCCAATGGGTGCTGGGGAGGTCCTAGTTCAGGAACCTAATGAGGTGGGAAGCAATGCGCGAATGCTCCCCCTTGGTGGCGTACGTCTAATAAACGGGCTGCCACCCAGGGGAGGCACGAGCTGAGGCTACCCGTGCAGTTTGTTGTTTTGATACCTTGTTATGAGGTGTGAACATTCTGTATCAACATTCTAAATGAGGTTTTGTGGTGGTCCCAATCGGGGAAGAAATCTGCGAATGCTCCCTCTGGGTGGCGTTCATCTAATAAACGGGCTGCCACCCAGGGGAGGCACAAGCTGAGGCTTCCCATGCGGTTTGTTGTTTTGACACCTTGTTATAAGGTGTGAACGTTCTGTATCAACATTCTAAATTAGGTTTCGTGGTGGCCCCTGTTTGGGAGGTGAATAGAGTCCCTTTATGGCGGCACTCCCGAATAGGGAAGAAGGCCGCTCAGACAAACACATGCATGACTAAGACAGGGAAAATACACAAAAGGGATTCTAAGACAGTAACACACATCACAGAACAACCGATCAATTCACAGTTTAGAGGTGGTCCCGCTACACAGCTCCCCCTTGACCACTAACCGGCATCCGCAGGCAGATGCCAACGGATCAACCTGTTGATGCCTGGGGAAAGCACCTACGCATCACTTGTGAAGGGTCATCTGCCTGGACAACCCATCAGCATTGCCATTCTGTTTGCCGGGTCTGTAGTGGATGGTATAATCCTACGGTTGTAGGACTGGCATTGTCACCAGAGACCCAGTTAAGCCATACCAACGGGTTGTGATCCATGATCAGGGTAAATTGCTGTCCATACAGATAGGGCTGAAGTTTTTTGAGGGCCCACACCAGCCGCTCTTTCTCGATGGCAGCGTAGCTTACCTCCCTGGTTAATAACTTCCTGCTGAGGTAAGCTACAGGGTGTTCTCTGCCATTGTCCCCGACCTGGCTTAGTACTGCTCCTAATCCGAACATAGAGGCATCTGTGCGGACGAGAAAACATTTCTCGAGATTAGGAACGGCCAGTACAGGGACATTTACCAGGGCGTCCTTGAGGGTTTTGGACACCTGCTCACACTCTGGGGTCCAGGCTACCTGTCGGGGTAAGTTCTTGCGGGTCAGATCAGTGAGGGGCTTAGCTATGGTGCTGTAATTGGGGACAAACTTTCTGTAGTACCCTGCAGTTCTTAGGAGAGCCAACACCTAGGTCTTGGTTTGGGGATGGGGCCAACAGGCTCCTGCCTCCACTTTGGCTGGTTTAGGTTTCTGTGCCCCACGCCCCACCCGGTGTCCTAGGTACTGTACCTCGGCCATCCTGAGGTGACATTTGCTCAGTTTCAGTGTCAACCCTGCCTCCCTGATCCGGTCCAGTACAGTTCCTACATGGGCCAGATGTTCCTCCCAGGTATCGCTAAATACGGCGATGTCATCCAGGTACGCGCATGCATACTCCTAGAGGCCCTCCAGCAGCTGGTCCACCATCCTCTGGAAGGTGGCCGGGGTGTTCTTCATCCCAAATGGCATTACCCTAAACTGGTACAGGCCAAATGGGGTGACGAAGGCCGAAACCCTCCCGCATTGTGGTCCCCTGGTTAGGACCGTAACCCCCCGGGTCCCAGTTGGGAACGATTAGAACTGCTTCTGTGCCACCAGCCTGAGCACTTCAAGCGAGACTGCCCCCAGCCCCGTCCTCAACCCCAGTTCATTACCCCCATGGCCCTTCATTCACAACAAGCAGCAGCCCATTTTTACCAAGCTAGCGGCCTGGAGTCCTCCACCTCCAGCAAAACAACCTGGTCCTGCCTGCATGAGGGAAACCACCTCCAAGCTGCCCACCATAACAGAGACCACCACCGACAGCCGTCCAGCTGAACGGCCGCACCATGCAAGGTTTGAGGGATACCAGGGCCACCTTGACCCTAGTCCACTCCCCACTCATTCCAGAGACCTAGAAGACCAGTGGGACAGTCACAGTCTGAGTGGCCAGGGGAGAGATCTACTATCTACCCACAGCACAGTTGGGCACCGGAATATGCCAACCAGTCCAGAGGGAGGTGGGAAAGGAGTAGTCCTAAGCTAGGAGATCGACGGCCTTTTCCCTCTGTTGATCACGCCTGGTGTGTAGGTCACAGCAGAATTCCAAGCTGCAGTACATAAGGTAAGGGACACTTGAGAAACAATTTGTGTGGCACAAAGGGAAGAGGTGAGTGGGTGGTCACTTGTCACCTGATTCTCCCTTCCATTTTGGGATACAACTTCTATTTTGAAGTTGAAATGACTCATACTCCCCTTTTTTCATTAATACAAGATAGCAAAAGTTCTCTCACTTCCTTTTTATTTTCCAATCCAGATACATAATAATCTAATTCTGGTAACTCAGAATGTGCGCAGCTGTTATTCCAAGCAATATTGTAGCCATTTTTTCATGTCAGTATAGTCCCAGGCAACATTTTTGCTGTTTTGATGGCCTTCACAATTTTCTTTTGTTACCAAATTTGGCTCTGCCATATGACGGTATGAACTGAATTCTACTGACCCGAATTTATTTTTTTTCAATTCTGCCGAAGAGGTTTTGAAGAACGGAAAATTTTCACCTTGCAACTGTCTACTCACAATTCAACACACGTGCACAGTTACACACACAATATTTTTTGTTTTCTACTAAGTGAATATATTTTCGTAGAAAAAGATGACACAAAGTAAAGCATTATAGGATGACCTAAAAGGTCCACATTAGAACTGAAAGGACATAAGCTTTGTAAAGAGTAGGTGGAAGAGAGAGAAATACTTTGGGTTGGCCTGGAGGGAGACATGCATTTAGAGAAAATGTTAAATAGTAATGACTTGATAAAGGTTGAGATATAACAGCAGGAGGAACTGCAAGCTTGAGGAGGAGGAATAAATGAAGTGAAGCAATGACTTAAAGAAACTGTATGAGCACACAATTAAAATAGTTTTAACAATATTGTCATAATCTATTTGAAAGTTTATACAAAGATATGAAATAAATTGCAAAGCGTTTCCAGCAATATTAAATTGAGTTCTTGGATAGGTCTAATGCAGAGGTTAAGCAGGGAAAAAAACAAAAAACCTTCCAGAGTGCCCTGAGTTAGAGAATTGGTAATAAAAAAAGAAAACACGAGTTAAATTAAGTGATAGCAAGTTAAAGAGAGAGGGGGGAGAAGTAACTGGCAGAAACAATAGCAGTTACCAAAAAAGTTATTAAAACGACAGAAGATAAGTACCTATGTGATAGCATTAGTAGGCAATGTGAAATATTAATATTTTAATTTTGTTTAGTAATGATAACACTCCTTTTAATGCACTAATTTGATTGTGTGGAGGTGAGTTCTTAGGAGAAAAACTGGTTTATATGTAGGTTTAAAGGATTAACTGCTTTTAGAAGTGGTCATGATGTTAGGAATCTGTATGTTCAGCATTTCAGCCTGAAACACTGCACTTATAGAGATAGTTGCGCTCTTGTGCCAGAGGCTAGCTCCACCCCTGGTTCACATGACTCCGGCAGCCGAGAACTGTTCCAAGCTGCCTAACGTTAACTCTGTACAAAATAAGTACGTTTTACCGAAAGCAGGCCTGCAAAGTGAAGCTTTGATCTTCCCTCCATGCGGTCTGTCCCCAGCATTTATTGGGATTTGTTTACATGTAAATATTGCTCTTAATACTATGTGGGTCTACCAGTTTTTTTTTTTTTTAATTCTTTATTTTTGCTGTGCATGAAATAACTTTCGCATATCAACAATGCCACAACAGCATTCGCAATCAATTTACAAACACTTATTTGTTAACTGGTGTACAGCATCTAGAGGAAACGCACATTTTTTTTAGGGTAATAATACAAGCTGAGTAACTACGTCTGTCGATTAGTAACAGTAGCTTAGGGTCAGTGGCGTACACATGACCCATGGGGCCCCGGTGCAAAAATTGATCCGTGCCCCCCGCGCGCTTACTTGGCGCGGGTCGGGGTCGCAACACATGGTGGCGGGCACCTGGTCGCAGGGGTTGCAGGGCTGCACACACACTTAAAGGACCACTACAGACACCCAGGTCACATCAGCTCAATGAAGTGGTCTGGGTGCCAGGTCCCTTTAGTTTTAACCCTGCAGCTGAAAACATAGCTGTTTCAGAGAAACGGCTATGTTTCACTGAGGGTTAATCCAGCCTCTGGTGGCTGTCTCATTGACAGCTGCTAGAGGAGCTTCCGCGATTCTCACTGTGAAAATCACAGTGAGAAGACACTGAACGTCCATAGGAAAGCATTGAGTAATGCTTTCCTATGGGCGGTTTAAATACGCGCGCACCTCTTGCCGCGCATGTGCATTCGGAGCTGAGAGGCGGACACTGGGGAGTCCGACGCTGGAGAAAGGTAAATGCTGAAGACACACATACACACTCTCACGAACAGACGCATACACACTAGTTAACAGACACACACATTTACTGACAGAGACACACTCAGCAACAGACATACATACACACTCACTTACAAAACATACACTTTCACTGACAAACACACACTCACTAACAGACATCAAACACACTCAGTAACAGACACACACACTAACACACTCACTAGCAGACACACACCCAATAACAGACACACTCACTGACACACACACTAACACACGCACTAACACAAACAAACACACACCCACACACACATACACTAACACACACATACACTAACACACACACACACACTAACACACATACACTAACACACACATACACTAACACACACACACCAACACACACATACACTAACACACACACACTACACACACACATCACACACACACACAACACACACACACTAACACACACATACACTAACACACACACACACTAACATACACATACACTAACACACACTAACACACACATACACTAACACACACATACACTATCTCACACACACTCTAACACACACATACACTAACACACACACACACTAACACACACATACACTAACACACACTAACACACACACTAACACACACACACTCTAACACACACATACACTAACACACACTAACACACATATACACTAACACACACATATACTAACACACACACACACTCTAACACACACTAACACACACATACACTAACACACACCCCTGCGACCCTGGTATGTACGCCACTGCTTAGGGTTAATATTTATGTTGCGTGTCATCGGTTCAATATCTAGACATTGACATGGTTATGCTTGACTATGCTTAAGTGAGGGGCATACATTTTGTACAGTAACAGCTGGTCTAAGTAGTCATGACATGCAGTAGATGAGACAGTAAGTTTGCATTTCAGGTTATGATAGATTATACAGTGCTGACTAACAAGATATGTATAGTTACGGTTTCCAGCTTAGCTAAGATTCTCATTAAAGCAGGGTGCCACCAGGCAAAGCATCATACATTCCGTTATTTCCCTCTATACATATAAAGCTCAAATAAAGATTAATTATATACAAGGTCATATGCAGAGGATGTGCACGTTATTCAATGACTGCAACTACAGTGATATCTGGTATGGCTATTCATGGCATACTATATATTGTGCTTCTTATTGTGAACGGCTGGGGTCACTGCCAGCTCCATCCCAGCGCAAAGCATGAGGTAGTGGGGTCGTGTTCCATGCCCAGGCGTGGGTTGAGTCCCTTGAGATTACCCCATGAGTTCCACTGGGTCCTAATGTCCCGGTTGCTGGGTAAGTTTGCCTTGCCTTGTAAGCCTTGATGTGCTGTCGAGGGCTGTAGCACGATGCGGTCAGTGGGTGACGCTGATTGTCCTGTTTGTTCTTCCAGCCCTGGTCATTAGTGGAGCTTGCTTGCAGAGTGCACTTTTGGGGTTGCCGCTTTGAGAAGTGCTGGCTGTGATGGTTCTCGCCTATCAGCTTGTGTGTTCCAGGGTCGTTACATGGGGGCTTGAGAGCCCTCAGGGACCCCCAGTGATAGCAGGTTGTGATCGCAGAGGGATCACTGTCTCAGTCGGTGCAGTTGCTGTGCAGCCGTCAGTCATTTTGACAAGACCGCGTGGGAGCCTCACTCCTCCGGCTTTGGGCCATCCAGGTAGCCCACCTGGTGGAGACTGGGATGACCCCCCCGGCCCACGGGGGGGGGGGGAATGGGACCAGGAAGGCACCAGGTAGATGGTGGTTCGCTGTAGTCAGGGTGGAGAGCGAGGCAGCGGCCATCCGCCCCGCTCCCCTCCCGGGTAGGCCTCAATCCCCGAGCCCCAGAGTCTCTCACCAGGACCTAGAGCCACCCTGCAGCGGGCACCCCAGCTACACCGGGACACTCCAGAGCTTCATGTCACGGACCAACGGGTCTGTATAAGCCGGGTAAAGTTGGTATATTCCTTATTTTCCGTTGTTTGCTCGGGAGCCCGTGTGATATGCAGCCTGCTGGCATGGCCGCCCGGCCCCGCCGCCCTCCCCCCGGGTCTACCAGTTTTTAACACAAAAATATGATTCACTAGCTACAGAGGAAAGTAGCATAATAATTCTTTGTGCTAAAAAGGCAAATAAGTAAAATTAGGGAGCAAAATCTGAAAGCTGGAAGTGCTTTACCTACAAGCATAACTAATTTTATAAGTTACTATACCCTCTAGTAATGAAGCCAATTGCATACCAGTCTAAATAGAAACCTCTCTTCTATGTGCTTACTTATTGCTTAAGGGGGCTGATGACGGTCCTGAACCTTTATAACTTAAAACAAGCAGCGGGAGCGATCAGAGATCGCTTCCGCCGATATACCGCTGTTGCGATCTGCCAGGCATGTAAGGCAGATAGAAAAGCTAATTATGTTGTCTGAGCAACACGCGATCGCTCATTATGGGCTGCTGTTAAAGTGGGTGTTACAAACACTCACTTTGACAGTGATCTCTGTCCCTCTCTCCTCTGTAGCATTTGCGAGGGAGAGAGACAGAGATTGTGATATATTGTTGCCAGAAGTGTTCTAAACTGTAGTACTGTGAAAAAAAATACAATTCCTTTTTAACCCCTTTCCTGCCAAATCCTGTTACAGCAGTGCATTTGTACTGTCTGTATTTTTATTTTATTTTTGCCCTTAAGGGTTATTTTTTGTTAAAAAGCTGTGTATTAGGTGGTTTTAGTCTGTTTTAGTCTATTTTAGTCATT